GCCGGACTTCAACACTTCCGGCCGCCGCCGCCAGCGAGCTGGCGCCTTAAAGGGGACGCGTCCCTCTTGTCGAGCCCGCGGAAGACGAACCTCAGCCGGAGGGATTTGAGTGAGGCTTTACCACTGAGCAGGGTCTTCTCTGGGAAATCCGTGTTGGGAAGGACGCCAGGGACCCTGATAACTCTTCTTCCCCCATTTTATGGATGAGGAAAATTAAAGAATCACCTCATCCACTGTCGGGGGCAAAGACAGGTCTCTCCACTCCTCTGGAGGACCTTGCCCCCTTTACCTCCCAAATCCTGTTCCGAAGCTTACATCTTACTAGACCCCCAGAACTTATGAGCCAGCTATGAATTTGGAATCAAAAGATCTGGTCACGAGTCCTTGAGCAAGCTGCTTGCTGCATTCTCTGACCTACGCATGTTTGCTAAGCTTTCCTGGTTGTGAGGTGGTACTAGGTTCAAGTATTAACTTCTTTGTGCGAGTTATTTAACAGCTCAAAACCTCTATTTTACATAAGGCTTAAGGTTGTTGTGAGTGTTAAAAGAGATGATACGCATGATCTCATATGTGTAATGTAATTAACAAAGTAAACTGATGAACGGCGTGGATCCAGAGACGTGGAAGCATGGGACAGAGTGCGGAGGGAGGGGAAGGAGGATTGCTTCCCATCTCGCCTCTTCCTGTGCATCACACCTCTGCCCTCCATCCCCTTTGTCTTGAAGGGGTGACAAGGAGTTTTACAAGTTCTTGATTCAAGAACAAGGGAGGCAGCCCAGGAGTAAGCAATAGAACTGAATTGGGGGGCGGGGGAGGTCAGACAAGCTGGATTCTAGACTTGGCTGTAGCAGCTCTCTTAAGCCTTGATTTCTCTTTTTTTTTCTTTTTAAAAATATTTTTATTGATTCAGAGAGGAAGGGAGAGGGAAAGAGATAGAAACATCAATGATGAGAGAGAATCATTGATTGGCTGCCTCCTGCTCGCCCCCTACTGGGGATCGAGCCCCAAAACCCGGGCATGTGCCCTTGACCGGAATCGAACCCTGGGACCCTTCAGTCCGCAGGTGGACGCTCTATCCACTGAGCCAAACCAGCCAGGGCCAGCCTTGATTTCTTAGTCTATAAAATAGAGATGATTTTTCCCACTGTGCCCACCTCTCAGTGCTGTTTCCGGGATCAAATGAGGAGACTTAGGACCCATGTTTGTGTCTGTTGTTGTGATCAAGGACTTACACATTAGCAGATGATTCTGAATGTAATGGGGGCTGGTCAGGCCTGGACTGTTGACCTATGTGAACTATTCTTAGTGGGGCCATTTATATCTTCTGATTATGTATCCAACACTCATTGAACATTTACGCAAACCCTGTCCCTGCTTTCATAAGCTCTTAGTTCACCTTCTGCAGACAGAATTGTAAACAGACAGGATAGGACAGTGTGATAGGTGTTACCCTGAGTTACAAAGAAAACACTGAAAATCTACAAAGGACCCTCCCTGGAGAACTCCTGGAAGGCTTCACAGAGAAGGGGTTATTTGAACCTGGTCTCCAGGATGAGTAGGAGTTCCTCACAGGGAAAAGTGAGGAAGAGCATGCAAAAAAGTACGTGAGCAGAGACAAAGAAGTAGGAAATGATGGGAGGTGGGACTGAAGAGGGAGGCTGGAACCAGATGGTTGGCATAAGGAGTCGGGAGCATCCTGAAGAGGGGGGAGACCCAAGGGAGGTTTAAGTCCTCTCCAGCTGCACTGCTAACACCCAGCCCACAGGACTTGCCTGGACCACTGCAGCAATTTCCCAGTACTTAGCAATCCTATCCACCCTGTCCCCAATTGCTATTCACCCTAGGCACCTAGAGTAATCTCTTAAAGAAGTAAAGTTAAATGTGACGTTCCTGTTAAAAACCTTTTAATAACCTCCCATTGCACTTGGAATAAAACGCAGACTCCCCTCTAGGGCCCCATGCATGATCTTCCTGCTGCTGCTTCTGTATCCCTCATTCACTGTGCCTTCCCTGACTCCCAACTGATAGTAGGGTTCCCAGACACATTCTTCTCTGTCGTCGCTGCCCCTTGTTCTATCAGGGCACCTGTTATGTTCATCTGGTGGACTATTTCCGGGCGAAGACCACATCTGAGAACTCTCCTCCCCAAGCCCTAGTTACTGACTCAATCCCTCTGCTTACCTTCATAGCAATTCCCATAATTTGAAATTCCCTAGATGATTTACTTATCTAGTTTGTGTCTTTTGTTTACATCACATAGCATTTGGAGCAGAGTGTAGTGTGCAGCTAATATTTATTGATCAGATGAATGATCAGAAAAAATTATAAGATAAGGAGTAGCTAGGAGAAAGACCAGGAAAAGAAAGCTGTGGGGGAAGTGCTATGATCATCCAGGCCAAAGAGAAGAAGTGCCTCATGCAGGGCAGAGCCAGAGGGAACACGTCAGCAGCCTTGATATGGAAGCAACAGGTGTTAGTGACAATGGAATGTAGGGGGTGAGAAAGAGAAAGGGACAAGAATGACCCCCAGTGAAGGAACAAAGCAGGAAGAGTTGGTTGGGGATTGAGGGGAAAAAGAAATGATGAGTCCATTTAGACTTGCCTGAGGGGTTTGAGGGACATCCAAATGAAGGTGTTCAGAGGAAGTTGGATTGACTTGTCCCCAGCAAGAGGCCAGTGCTGGGATTTGAGATGGAACCACAGAGGACAAGAGTGGATGAGGTCACCCGGCTGGCAAGGCTCAGTGGTTGAGCGGCGACCTATGAACCAGGAGGTCACGGATCAATTCCCATCATTGATGTTTCTCTCTCTCTCCCTCTCCCGAATTCCCATCACTGATGTTTCTATCTCTCTCTCCCTCTCCCTTCCTCTCTGAAATCAATAAAAATATGTATATATTTTTAAAAAGTGGATGAGGTCACTCCTGGGCTCTACATTATCCATCTGTGAAGAAGTGTGGCCTATGGGTCCAAGAAAGTGTGCAGAGGGAGGGGGCTAGAGGCCCAAACCTGGAGAATATTAAGCCTTAAGGAACCTGCAGGGACCAACCAGAAGTGGTCGGAAAGGTTAGGTCCCTGAACAGAGGGGAGAGAGGTAACCAAGAGAGAAGTCAGGGAGCTTTCAGAAGGAGGGGATGGTGCCAACAATGCCAAATATTGCAAGGATCTGGCCAGGAATAACAAGCCACTGGATTTGGCAACTAAGAGGTCATCCCTGATCCTTCCAGGGTGATCACCAGGGGGTGGGGGAGGAGGCCAGACTGTGGTGGATCAAATAGGGAAGAGAAATGGCAGGAACAGTGAGTTGGTACAATTCTTTAAATTTTTTTTGATAGAAAGAGAGAACTAGGACAAAGCAATAAGATGATTATTTTGAGAGAAAAATCATGTGAAGATTTTCCTTTTGAATTTTTTTCCTCTTAATGGTTTTTCCTGTTAATTACATGTTCACTGTAGAAAATTATAAAGTGCATAAAAAGATGGAGAAGCAGAGGGGAAAAAACACTTTTTAAAAAAATATATATTTTATTGATTTTTCACAGAGAGGAAGGGGGAGGGATAGAGAGCTAGAAACATCGATGAGAGAGAAACACCAATCAGCTGCCTCCTGCACACCTCCCCACTGGGTATGTGCCCGCAACCAAGGCACATGCCCTGGACCGGAATCGAACCTGGGACCCTTGAGTCCGCAGGCCGACGCTCTATCCACTGAGCCAAACCGGCTAGGGCAGGGAAAAAAACACTTTTATTTAACATCTGTCATTTCCCTTTCCATCTTTTTTCTCTGCATTTTTCCCCTTTACCTGGATGAATTATTTTGAAAGTACAATTCCATGTTATACTTCTTTTCCCTACTATACGCTGTGTCCTAAACATGGAAGAGAATTCTTTTTTTACTTTTTCTACTTCTTTCTTTTTCTTTTCTTTTTTTTTTTTAAATATGAGAGTCAGCCCTGGCTGGTGTTTCTCAGTGGTTAGAGTGTCAGCCTGCACACAGAAGGGTCCTGGGTTCAATTCCTGGTTAAGTAAGTGTTAGGTCAGAGAGAGCCCAGGATCAGATGCATGCAGACGTGTGATGAGATAATGGACCCTCCTTGGCATTTCTAACAGATCAGTGTGCCAGACACAGATACTGGCTTCTCCCTGAATTCACAACGACCCCCAAACAGATACTGACTCCTTCCTGAATACCCTGGCCACCCCCTGTGTCGGAAACTTGTCAGCTGAATACCTCAGCTCATGTCCCCGCCCCTCACCCAACCGCAGTATAAAAAAAGTGCCCCCCTCCCTGTTGGCGCGAATCCACAGGCCCTGTCTTTGAGGTTCGT